CTAGGTGGGTCATTCAGTCCACTGTAATGCCCAACCTGGAAGACATCTCAAGAACTACCCCTAGTTTCCGAACAGATGTTTTTATATCTATGGAGAAAAGTTAAGAATCTTTACATCTACCAGCTGTGTCCTCTAGAGTAGTAGTTATAAAGAAGCAATCCAAGGTACGGTGACTATTATCAAGCAAATGAGGGGACAGTGGCTGACTTTTGTCATTATTTTTGCTGAACTTTTTCCTTCACAGAATTTGACGAACTCATGTTTTTTTTAGCTGAAGTTTATTGAGAAAAGTATTTTTATACGTACAAAACCTGATACAGTATTTTGACAAACTGCTGTATGGGAAAAGTCACAAATTACAAATTTTAGAATACAGTTTTTAGAATATTAGAATTACATGTAGACATTTGGAGTGTGTATTTAGTATTGACAGGGGACATGCGAAGCTCTGATGTTGCTGGCAGTAAGCAAGAAATCAAAATATTAGAAGTCTTTGAGCTACTCATTGTCTGCCATGCATGTTTGTCCTGAATGTGTTTCTAATTGTCTTTCATATTTAGTCCCTACTTCTGCTTAGATTGCAGAATTGACAAGAAAGTAGTTAAATTCTGGAGAAGAGGGAAAGGCCAGTGATAAAGTTACTGCATGTAAAGTTAGGTGGTAAGCACTTTACGTCCTAATGATAATTTGCTACTATATGTGGGCATTTTTTGTGTGTTAAAGGTTAAAAGAGAGATGACTGGGGATTATGAGTTGATGTGTAACAGAAGTTTCCCAACTTAAAATAATGGAAAATAAGCTCCTAGTTAAGGTTTTTGCACAGTATATCTAATTTTCAGAAACAGGTTCCTGATTGTTATTAAGTGCACTCAAATATAGAATTGTTTTATCTTCCTGGTGAATTGAACTTTTGTTGTTTTAAATAGTCCTCCTGTATCTCTATCCAAGTCTTGCGTATCTGTCTTCTGAATTAAAGTTTACTATGATAAAGTATAGCAACTCACTTTCTTTTGGTTTGTGTTTTATGTGGTATATCTTTCTCCATGCTTTTATTTTCATTCTTTCTGTATCCCCACATTTAAGATTTGGCCTTTCTTATAATCATGTAATTAGGTTTTTAAGAATATATTTCTGTCTTTTATAAAAATTTGGAGGCTTAGTTTACATTTCTGATGCCTTGGATTAAATCTTTCATCTCTCTGTTTGCTTTCTGTTTGTTGTTTCCTGACTCTTTTTGATTATTAACCCACTTTTTCCTCGTTTTTTTAGCTTTTTAGGTATACACACTTTTACTGTTCTTCCTACTGGTTATCCAAGAGATTATCATATGCATCCTTGACTTACTGAAGTCTAAAGTAAATGATACTTTTTCCATTTTTCTAATCAATGAAAAGATTTTAGAACACTTTAACTTATTTGCTACAGTTCCTCATCATGTACTGTTACTCTTGTATAAGTTTTAATTCCCATAAAGTATTGCTGTTATTTCATCTTGTCAATATTTCAGTACCATTACTCACTTAACTCTGTTCATTGAACTTGATTTTTGGGGCATGTGTAGGCAGTATCAGGTTTTTTTTTTTTTTTTTTGCTTAATATCTAATTCAATGTTTTCCTACTGAAAAATTCTGTTTGCCTTAAAATGCCTTTATTTTGCTTTTACTTTTGTATAGTATTTTTTGTCAGATACAGAATTCTAGCTTGGCATTTCCCTTCCACCACTTTGAAGATATAACCATTTCATTGCCTTCTGGCTTTCGTTACTAGGTGAAATCACTTAGCTGTAAATCTTAACGGTTGCTTCTTGTAGTTAATCTTTCTTTAATTTTTCTGACTTCATTTAAGATGTCTCTATGGGGGGCCTCCCTCCGTTCTAAAGTGTCTAAGTGTGGTTTTCTTTGTTTTCATTTTGCTTGGGGATTTGTAGAGCTTCTTGGATCTGTGCCTTGATGTCTCATTGGTCAGTTTTTAAAACTATTGGTTATTATGTCTTCACATATTTCTTCTACCCCATATGTTTTCTTCTTCCCTTCTAGGATTCCAGTTAACATGTATTTTGAGTCCTTTCTCCGTGTTACAAAATTTTTCATACCCTTTTCTGTATTTCCCATTCTCTTGTCTTTTTGTGCTTCCGTCTAGGTGTTTCCTTTTTTCTTGTCTTCTTTTTCTAGCTGTGTCTAACTTGTTATACCCATCCATTAATTTCCATTCTTAAAATTGTATTTTTTATTCAAATTAACCTGAGGGTACAAATTTTTAGGTTACATTGTTTTCAGTTACAAGATAAGGTTCAGGTTGTAGTTGAGACCTTCACCCATTGTGCACATTAGGTGAGATCTCCCCAGTTGCTCTCCCTCCTCCCTCCCTCCCTCCTTTTCCTTTCCCCTCCCCCTTGCTGGACTATAATTGTGTTTCATCATTTGTGTGGACATGTAGTTGTCTATACATTTGTTTCATATTAGTATTGAGTACATTTTTTGATTCAGTGATTTCCTTTTTTTTGTCTGCTAAAATTCTTTTTAATTCCTTGAAAACATTAATTAACTTACTTTACTTTCTGATAACACCATTATCTGAATCTACTGTGGGTTTGTTTCTGTTGCTGGATTTCAGTCGGATTTTAACCATTTTTCAAAATTTCTAGTCATTTTATATGAAAATGATACAATAATTTGAACTTCTAGATTAGCGGTTCTCAACCTGCAGGTTGTGACCCATAAGAACTGTATTAAAGGGCCGCGGCATTGGGAAGGTTGAGAATCACTGTTCTAGGTGATGTTATCTTCTGGGAAGTATTTTTGCTACTGGTATGCACCTAGGATAATAATGTTAGCTAGCTCAGGTTGTCTCCGTCTAATCAGAGATTGAGCTGGTTTGAAGCTATGCTTCTCTGTGTGTGCAGCCTAGTTTATTTCTAGTTTACTTTTATGTCTAGGGTAATCCTGTGGAGTCTGTCCATATGCCTGGTATGTTTATTAGGGCTATTCCTTCTTCACAGGCCCTGAGTCTAATTTCCATGGCCCACTCACAGATCTCTTGAAAGCTCTGTTCACTTTCTCAGTCTCTCAGCCAACAGTTTCGGAAGCTACAGGCAGAAAATGAGTCCACACATTGGTCTCTGTTTCTTCCTCTTCTCAGCCCTGTACACTCTTATTGTCTTGAAGGTTTTCTAGTGGTTTAAAATAGATTACCTTTTGTTTTGCGTTTCTAGTTCTTAGAAGGTTTGGTTTGAAGCAGCCTGCTCCACCATTGTTAAAATCAGCATGTCCAGATATGTTCTAGAATTCATTTTTCAGATTACATAAAGTAGAACAGTATATGTATCTCACAGGTGTTAGCAGATCTTGCATACCTTAGCACTAATAACTCTACAGTGAAATGTGTGAATATTTTGCCTATTACAGTGCAAGGTTTTGTATTGGGAATATAGTGTGATCTATTAGGGAACTTGATTTGAAGTAAGCCAGTCTTTATTGTTTATCATGTCATGTGTTAAGGAAATAGACATGTTCTGCAGCACAGCTGCTTGTGGATTGGGTCCCACTGTGATTAGCCATCTTTCAGTTCCTCTAATGTTTCCTGTTCCCTTTTATTCTGGGGCTTTTGTACATGCCATTCTCTGCCTAGCATGTACACCTCATTTGAGTATGAGGGACATCCTTAGGTAGCCCTTTCCTGACTAACAAGTACACGTCAGATTTCAGTCAGACAAAGGAAATGTCTTTTTCCTCTACGAGATTCTAAACTCTCCTAGATTAGGGCTTGATCATTTTATTCTCTATGTATTCAGTGTTTGGAAGTACATTAATTATAAGTAGGTGATCAGTTAATAGGTTTTGAGGGAAGACAGAAAAATGTGGTGCTAGTGGTAGTGGTGGTAATGATAAGAGATGCAAGACTCATTGCTTTTGAGCAAAAGCCAGGTTTAATCAAACACTGTACCCATGTATAGTATTATAAAATACTACAAAATTCCCTTAGAAATTTATTATGGTAAGGGTTTTAGCATTTATTCCCCATTCTCCTGTAAATAGTTATTTTTATTAAGTAAATTTTGAAAGCAGTAGGTTTTAAATCAACAAATTTATCATTCAGAGCAAGACAAACTATCATTTTCAGTCATTCTACTGGAGAGATAAGTGGAATTTAAAAACAGTTAACGGGTTTTTAAAATCTCAAAGGATTTACTATCTCAAAGGAAAGTAGACTTGGAATTTACACATACACTCCGTCACACACACAAAGGTGCTGTGGTTTATTCTACCTACCTAGAGAAATTGGTCTTGAATTCAGCAAGGCAGTATTTGAACTGAATCTTAACTGATAAGGAGGTATTCATTAAGTAGTCAAAGGATTAGTATTTCATTTAAATGTGTATTATTAAGAAAATACATGCTGTCTTTGTGAATTAACAAATAGTAATTTGGCTATAAGCCAGGTCAATTTGCAATAAGAATTTGTAAAGGCAAATTGGGGTATCAAGGTACTTGATCCTTTGGCATACTGATCTGCAAAGATTTTAAGGATATTGTGTCATGTTTAAGAAGAGAAGTTCTGGAGTCAGACTTCCTGATATATCCCAGGCTCTGCCCTCCGCTAACTGTGTGACCTTGAGCATATTACTTAATTTTTCAGTGTTGTATTTATAAAATAGAGTTGGTAATTATAGATTACAGTTAGGATTGAATGAATTAAGACATGTCCATACTTAGGAAAATTTCAGTAAATGTTGGCTTTTGTTGTTGCTATTATTATACACATTGAGAAAACCTCAAATGTTATAATTACGTTAGTTTAGCCAGAACTAGAGGCACAAAAAGACTGAAGAGATAATTTAAGGTAAAATTACCAAGACTAACTTATTTATTAATTTTATATAACCAAACATTTAAACTAATGCTGTTGATGTGCAGCATAAAAGCAGATTTGAAATTTGTATAACAGTTTTATGATTTGCAAACTTATAGAACTTAAATCTTCTATTTCGTGTTTTCTTTTAGATCTTGTAAGAAATTTCAGCTGTAGCCCTTGGACTAGAAGCTATAATAACAGAAGCTGTGTACGATGCATTAGGATATTGAAGAAAATTAACTTTTGAATTAAATATTTGGAATATAAAGAAATAAAGAAAGAAAGGTGACTGAAAATGGGGCGGAAGAAAATACAAATCACACGCATAATGGATGAAAGGAACCGGCAGGTAATGAAAATTGTAATTATCTGTTTAACTGATAATATATTTAAAAAAAACATAGGATAGAATAGTTGGATTTTTCTTAAATTTAATTTCAATTATAAATATTTTTAGTTCCAGACTAAATGAAAAATTCCGAAAGTCATAAAATTGTGTCTTTTAATCATTTGCTTTAAAGAAAGTTTTTCTTATTAGAGATAACATAGAAACATAGATATGCAAAGAAATAAAATCACTGCAGTCCCACCATTACCATCTAGTGTGTAGATTTTTCATAAAGTATTTAGTTGTCTATATATTTGATGTTTGTGTATATGAATTATCTTTAAATTTTATCACATCTGTTTTCATAATTTTATAATACCTAAACGTGAACATGTTCTAATCAGTTTTCTTGTAACCTCTTATCACAGCTATTTCTAAGACATTTACATATATGGGGTGGACATAAAGTTCGTGTGCAATTTAAATAGTAAACTATTTTAAATATTAAATATTAAAACTATTAAATTGCACGCAAACTTTATGTTCACTCTGTATATCTTAGCTTTAATTGATGAAATATATTGAACTTAATTTACAGTACAAGTATCAGTAGACTTACAAATTCAGATTTATGATAATGATGCTGATATATGAAGAGACTGGAAGTTTTGTCTAGAGAGTTGGCAAACTATGACCTATGGGCTGGTTGCCTGTTCTGTAAATGAACCTTCTTTTTTAGAGCAATGAGCCACGCTCATTCTTCTGTGTTGTATATGGCTACTTTCACATTGTAAGAACAGAGTTGAGTAGTTGCCGTAGAGACTGTCTGGCCCATAGATTTAAAATCTTTACTCTCTGGCCCTTTTAGAAAAAGTATGCCACCTCCTCAGTTAAAAGCAGTGGTCCCCAGCCCTTTCTCTTTTCTTTTTTATGTATGAGACATGGGTCTCACTTTGTCGCCCTCAGTAAAGTGTGTGGCCTCATAGCAACCTCAGACTCCTAGGATTTTTCCACAGACAGGTGGAGGAGATAGTTTTGGGATGATTCAAACACATTCCATTTCCACCTCCATCATCAAGCATTAAATTCTCATAAGGAGTACATAACCTAGATGCCTCACATGCACAGCTTACAGGAGGGTTTGTAGTCCTGTGAGAACCTCATCCCTTCACTCCCTAGCTGCTTGCTGTCCTGTTGTGTGGCTGGGTTCCTAACAGGTCACAGATTCCTATTAGTCTGTGGCCTGGGGCTTAGGGACTGCAGATTGAAAGGAAAAAAAGAAAAATAATCTCATAGACTATTATAAATGAAATACTTTTAAAAGAATTTGCAGGAGGGAGTGATGCTATCTCTGGGAAGTTTACTTATCAGAAATGTTGAGAATTTCTAAAACCTTACCAAAACAGAATAGTATTGAAAATGTGTTCTGTAAAGTCTGAGTAGTAGTTAACCTGAGTGTGGATACTGTATAACTGGAAACAAGAACAGCTGGTAGAGAAGTTAGTGGGAGTGATTATAGTTGCCCATAGACTAAACTCAAGAAGGGGCTTTTGTTTCAACTCAGGAAGATTGCTTAGCAGAGGTGTAATGCCCACTCAGTATGATTCATTATGAACATTGATAAAACAGGGAAGACTGATCAAGGAACCATTCCATTGTTCCAAAAGAATGATTCTAAGCAAAGTTGCAAGTTGCCTTCCCCTCAGAAATTTTAAGGATTATGACATGTAGAGGAGGTATGGTATATACTCCATGAACACATGCATTGTAAATGTAAAATAAGCAGAGCAGTAGTGGAGTACATAAGCTCTTTCTCTGACTATTCCATAGTCAGTCATGTTTAAATTGGGCATAACGAAACTGTACCGACCTGTGGAAGGGATTCTAAATGTTAAGAGGGAAAGAGGAGCTAGGAATAGGTAGGTGTCTGTGTAGTGAACGAACAGACCTTTTTAAGTTGAACAAATGCCCTTGTTAGAAAGACGAATCCTGCCGCTATAGCTAAACAACTAGAATCAGCCTGTTCTTACATTAGATTTACCTCCTGAATTAGCTTCTTGCCTAGCTGCCTAATGGAGCAAGGGAAGACTGGATGAAGGACATTAAAGAAGTTAGGCAGTTTATTTTTCACATTAGATTAGGTACAGAGACAATTTGTCACAAGCTAAAAAGGTATCTTAATTTTACTGATTTTGGAATTTGTGGATTTTGAGTTAAAAGTTTCATTATTCTTGTGTGGAGTGGGGGAAAATTATATCTTCATAGAAGAAATGAGATGTTATGTATTTATCCAAATTCAAATATGTACCATATCCAAGGGACTGTGGTAAGTCTTGGGAACTCATTAAAAATACGTATAGCAGATTTCAATATATGGCAGATAGAAGTAAGTTCAGGTACTGGGATGGTGTATGGAAGAAACCACCAACTTTGGGTAGGGTAGTTTAGGGAACAGTTACTGGAGGAGGTAATAGCAAACAGACTTAGAGTTACAGGTATGAGCTAACCAGATAAAAATCACACTTCAGGTCATTGGAACAGTCCACCAAAAAATCTTGGGGATGGTAGTATCATGCACTTAAAGAGAGCAGCTTCATTTTATTTCACTTCTGTTTGGAAGTTTCTGGTGAAACCTTGTGTTTGCCCTTTCTTGTATTTTATATATACTTGTATTTTAAAAATACATTTTGCATTATAGTACAACATAAAGAAACCCTAAGTGTGAGTTGCAGTGAACTTCTGTGAAATGATTATGGCCATGTGTGCATCCTACCCCAGAGGCACTCTGTCCTGTTCTCCAGTTATCTCCCTGCCTCAAGGAAAGTCATTAACCTGACTTCTGACGCTATAGATTAATTGCTCTTGTTGAATTTACATGACTGGTATTTGTTCTTTTGTATATTATGTTTGTGAAATTCATGAGTGTTATTGTTGTATTATATGTATATATATGAATGTATTTTGTATATTTTCATTGATATGTTGTGTGAATAGAATAGTATGTATTTACTTTTTCCTATTGTAAATGGACATTTGGATTATTTTCTTTTTGGGTGCTATTATGAAGAATGCTGTTTGAGGGTGGTGCCTGTGGCTCAAGGAGTGCCTGTGGATCAAGCCTTTAAACTGCAAAAAAAAAAAAAGAAAAAAAAAAAGAATGCTGTTTTGAATACTCTTTTATGGTACACATAAACACTTGAGTGTCTGTGTCTAAGAATTTAATTGTGGGATCACAGGGTATACATATGATGAGAGTTAGTAGCAACTGACAAAAGTTTTAAGAAGTTGTTGTGCTGGTTCTGGTTGCACCACATCACTAATATTGGGTATTGTCTTTTCATTTTAGCCATTCTGACAGGTATATGATATTAACTTACTTTAATCTTAAGTTTCCATGATGTTTAATGAAGCTGTCAGCCTTTTCATATTTTTTTGGCTGTATAGGTATCTTCTTTTGTGATTTGTTCATTTTTTGCTTTTTTCTAATGGGTTTTCTGCCTTTTTCTTATTAGTAAACATTCTGTGTATCATTAAATGAGTGTTTTGTGCAGTATAAATGTCTCTCACACTATGGTTCACCTTTTCACTTTTTTAATATTTTTTGTTTAATAGTAACATTGCTTTAATGATGTCCAGGTTACCTTTTCCATGTTTTTCTTTATGGCTAATGCTTTTGTTGTCTTATTTAAGAAATTTTCATTTACCAGAGGGCATGAAGATATTCTTCTGTGCTTGCTTCTAGAAATGTTTTTATATATAGGTGAGGTGGTTTCTGGATTACTTTGTTCCATTTGATTATTTGTATCTTCTTGCTCAGTTACGTACTATTTCAGTTTTCTGTAATTTCCTGTATGGCAGTATGGTTCTCTACCATTGCATTTCTGCACAAGTGGCTTACTATTCTTGCTCTTCTTAATTTCCAAATGAGAGCAAGTATAAATGTTTATTCAAGAAAGCAGGCAAACAAAATAACTTCACTGGAATTTAGATTTTGTTTCACTAGACGTATGGATTTATGTAGGGAGAATTGAAATCTTTATAATATTAAATCTTGTGATCTATAAATATGTTTACCTTCCGCTTGATTTCCATTAATTCTCTCTGTAATGCTTTATAGTTTTTGATGTAAGTCTTAACACGTATTTTAGTATATTCCTAGGTGTTTGATTTTTTTTAAGCTATATTATATTCCCTCCCCCCCCCAAAAAATTTTTTGTTGCTAAGTATATGTACATGTATAAAAAAAGTGTAGTTCTGAATTGCTGGATCATATGCTAAACTCTGAGTTTAACCTTTTGAAAAATACGAGACTGCCAAAGTAGCTGTATCATTTTGCATTCTGCCAGCACTTTATGAAGGTTTCAGTTTTTCCTAGCCAAGACTTGTTATTGTTTGCCTTTTTGATTATAGTCACACTAGTGAGTGTGAACTGGTTACCTTGTGGTTTAGCTTGTGTTTCTCTGATGGCTAATGATGATGAACCTCTTTTCATGGGCTCATTGGTCATTTGTATATCTTCTTTGGAGAAGTGTCCATTTAAATCTTTTGCACAATTTTTAATTGTTTAGTTATATCATCTTCATTTTGAAAGCTATTTTTATTGGTTATAGAATTCTATAATTGACAGTTATATTCCCTTAGTTTTGAAGCAGTTATGTCGCAGTTTCCATTCATTTCCTTTTTTTTTTTTTTTTTTTTAAAGTAATGTGATTATTTCTTTTGTTGCTTTTTAAGACTGGCTTTTTCTTTGTTAGTAAGTGGGAGTTTTTTGTGTTTTTTTTAAGACAGTCTCACTATGTTGCCCTTTGAGAGTGCCCTGGTGTTACACACAGCTCACAGCAACCTCCAACTCCTGGGCTTAAGCGATTCTCTTGCCTTAGCCTCCCAAGTAGCTAGGACTACAGGTGCCCGCCACAACGCCTGGCTATTTTTTTGTTGTCGTCATTTGGCAGGCCTGGGTCAGGTTTGAACCTGCCAGCCTTGGTGTATGTGGCTGGTGCCTAGCCGCTGAGCTATAGGCA